TTTAGGGTTTAGGGTTGATGGGTTGGCGGTGGGGGTCTAGGGCTTTGAGGGGTGTAGGCTGTGGGTTTAGTGTTTTCGCAGAGGGCTCCAGAAGGTTTCTTAGGGCTTGACTTGTTCTAGAATGGCCGCGGGATTTGAGAGTTAAGGTGCTGGGGTGCTTATGGGTTAGAGGTTTCGGCAAGCCCTTGTAACCCACACCCATGTCTCGAACGGTCAGCACCGCAAGCCCAAAACCCAAGTTCTGAACAGCACAAGGCCCAAACCCGAAACCCAAACATGTAAACTGTTAAGGACTGATAGATAGATTGATTTGGCCCTAAACTGGTCTGCACATGGCAACGGTGTCGAGACATAGTTGCTGTCGCCGACATTGATTACATAATACAGAGAGACCCTAATAAGAATAGGGTTTTGGGCGTTATAATTATAGTCAGGAGCCCTCCAACATAGTATTGGTAATGCTTTCCCTAAACCCTAAACCCCTGTGAGTCCCGGCCTCAAAGGAAGTGGACACCGTGACCTTCGACGATTTCAGGGAGCAGGTCCCTTTTGGAGGGAGCTGGGTTTAGGGTTTAGGGTTTAGGGTCTAGGGTTTAGGGTTTAGGGTTTAGGGTTTAGGGTTTAGGGTTTAGGGGCTTTTAATGATTGCCTATACTATTCTGGGGGTTCCTTATTAGAACTATTATAGTATATTCTACCCCCAAAACCCGATTCTCATTACTAAGGCCCTTACATTATGCTATAAGACAAAGCTTAATTCAAATCAACAGGCCCCACTGTTCGGGTGGGAGCAAGCGAGCGGCTGAGTCCTGGCCAACCCAAAATCTCAAGCCCTGAATCCTAAACCCGATAAGCCCTAAACCTCAAAGCCCAGTAGCTGAATCCTAAACCCTAAACCCTAAACCCTAAACCCTAAACTGTAAGCCCTACCCCTGAACCCTCGTTCCTGAACTGCCGAGTAGAGGCTCGACGCAGTTAATAGGATGCCGAAGGACATAAGGTGTATAAGCCCAACCTCCAATGCTGGGTATTTTTAGGGTTTAGGGTTCAGGGTTTAGGGGTGTTCCTTAGGAGTTATTCTTCTGTTTTATCATCACCTAAAACCAAGGAGTTCGAATAAACATCATTACCATTTTTGCTTATAAAAGGCCCGAAGGCCCTGCTCGAAACCCTAAAGCCTGACAAAGGCCCGGATCTTGCGTTGACTGCATTACGGATCCAGAGATTTGGCAGTTTCTACTCCTGTTTCTAGGACTTTGCTACTTTGGGCTTCGGGGTCCTAGCGTAGCCAGCATCTACTTTGCATCCCAAAGCGAATCTTAACTTGGACCTCCAATCAGTCAACGGTTTAGGGTTTAGGGTTTAGGGTTTCGGGAGCACCAGCCCTCACCCCCAGAAAAGCAGCCCCAGATCACAACCCTACACGGCAAGCCTGCGCACGGCAAGCCTGCGCTGTCGCAGATCCTCTGCGAAGAAGATAACGAACGACAGCTACTCAGCGTATGCAGGCACAACCGGTAGCAGCCAGTTCTGTGGGTTCAGGGCTGTGTACTGAGGTTTTGAGGATTTTGTAACATCGCAAATCGTTAATTCCAAGTCCCGAAACCTTAAATCCGAAGATTGGCTGTCAGACAGCATCCTGCCGAAGTGGCGAGTACGGCATAATCCACACAGTCTCAGATGAGGTGCAGGAATGTGTCCAAAACACTAAGCTTAAGTTCGACACCCTAACCCTCAAACCGTAAGCCCAATCTCTAATCCCCAACCCGACAACCCTAAACCACAAACGAGGGTTTAAGGGTGTAGGGCTTGAAGTTTGAACTATTGTAGGGATCTGAGATTAGGGCTTTAGGTTTTAGCACTTTGAATTATCGTATTATAGGGTTTAGGGATTAATTGTGCTAACTTTAGGATTCATTGTTTACGCGTTTGTTTTGCCGTGCTTGGCTGAAGAGAACTCTCTCTTGACTTAGAAAACTTATGCGTAGTAGGGTTGGCAAGATGTGTGTTGTGAGGATTATTAAGGTCAAACTTAGGTGTTTATCGGGCATACTGAATAGACTTACCAAGTCAAAACTTCATGGGCTGAGCTTTGGACTTGCTGGGGTTCGCCGCCCTGCATCGAGAGGTTATAATTGTGCGGACCACCATAGACCATGACGCATTGTCCGCAAATATCGTCGAGACACTGCTAAATGCCTCGCGCCTCCGCTCCGTGCGGCGGGCGCAACAGGAGATGGCCGACCGCCTCCGAAAGGAGGCAGCCGGCAACGCACGCGCGTGCGAGCAGTGGTGGTGCAGGAGGACGATGATTCGAGGAGGAACAGGCTTTGGCTGCTCCTTTTGACCCGTTTTGGCGGGGCTCCTGAATTGACGTTTGCAGCCTCTATGGAGGAGGCACGGAAGGAGGACGTCTCGCACCAGGATAATGAATTTTTGCGGGAGGGTAGCTACCTTGAACTGGCAGGCATAGAAACTTAGCAGAGAGGACCTACATCCTACCGTAAGGCCCGAAAACCGAGCCCCCAAACTCCCACCTGAGGAAGTAGTAATGCGATCCCCATAGATCCTGCATATCTATAATACAGGGATTATTTCGAAATAACTAACACTAGTTACTTCATCAAAGTCCGTAGTCACATTGGTTCTTTCGCCAAAACCTGTCCTAGTTTGTGCGGCTGTCGTAGTACCAACAAATAGCTACAATCGTGTTTGTTTAAGTACGACAGCTGAATGCACAGCCGGCAGCACCCTTCCTACTCGTGTTGTGTGCTTGCAATGTCAACAGCACGCATCTCATACAAGGCTTCCGTTTTCGAAAAAAAAACCCTATTCAAACTGTTGAGGCCACCTGTGTTCGACCTTGACTAGGCTCTAGACTTTAGACGCCTATGCCATATACTCTAAAGCCTAGACCCCAACCCATGCCTATGCTCAAAACTCTCAACCTCGACATTAATTAATCCCCAAACCCGAAACCCTACTCGAAACCCTGCACCTGTATACCTTGTAGCCGAAACCATCCAAAGCCCGAGACCCTGTCTGTACTCGACACCCGACGTCCCCGTCACTCAGGGCTCCACCAAAACCTGGGGAGTGCTTGAACTCGAACATGCCGGTGCTAACTTTCAGGTTCAGGGTTTCTGTCGGGCTCAGAGTTTAGGTTAAGGGTTGAGGGTTTATGGCTTTGAAGAACCCTAAACCCTAAACCCTAAACAGGGGTTCAGGGTTTTGCAATTTAGGGTTAAGGATTCCTCCTATCCCCAGCCCCACCGGCCAACAAAACTCCATGAGCATCAGCTCAGGAAGTCTTCACAACACCCGAAGCCTTGCACCCTCTTCGGTTTAGGGTTTATGGGTTTAGGGTTTCGGGCTTAGGGTTTAGGGTTCCCAAGTCCTGTACGCGCGCAAAACTTGCAGAGACTCTGAAAAAACCTTTTAAACCCAGGGACCTTATGCCCTAAGCCCTATGCCCTCATTGCTTTACCTTAATCCGAATCTAGGAGGTCCTCCAGAACCTAAAACCCTCTCTCCTATACGAGTGACGGTTTAGGGTTAAACCCTAAAGCCCTAAACCCAACCCTAAACCCTAAACCCTAAACCCTAAACCCTAAACCCTAAACCCTAAACCCTAAACCTTAAGCCCCCAAGCCAGGAACAAGCTCATGAAGACCTCGTACATGTATTCGGACCGTGTGAAGCACATGGAGGACATCGGCGTGAAGGTCGCCTTAGGCCTGGTCCGGTGTTTTTTTTTTGAATTAGGGCTTAGGGTTTAGGGTCCAAGTTTCAGGGTTTGGGGTTTAGGGAGGTTT